TGCATTTCTTCTCCTTTTTTCACGGTCTAGTCTTTCCTCATTTCTTTTTAGGGAGGCTGTGGAGAATAGTCAGCGCGTTGTGCTTAAACATCCCAGTGTTTGATTGTATTTGGCTTTACGGTGCCAGGCACTGCCTTGAGAAATCCGTCCAGATACCGTCAAATTCACATTGTCAGGGAAGGGGGGTGTGTAACACCTTCCAACAAGAAGAGGAAGAAACGTGCATTTGAAGCAATGCGAGTAAAGCCAAACGCTAGAAGATGTCAAAGGGACAGTTAAGGTTAAAACCTGCAGTTCTAAAGGGTGAGGTTTTGGGACTGGGGTTTGCAGTGGGCAAACGGTGCTGGTCAAGTACAGTTCAAACACCGTTTTTGAGATGGTGAAGCTGTGTTCCTTCCTGCCCTCTAACCCTTCTCTGTGCAATACCTACTGCTAACAAAGGGGAGAGACTTCTCCCCACATCAGTCTTCCCATTCCTTTGTTCAAAGTTGGAAAGTTCTGTTGCATTCAGGGATAACAGAGGAGTAACAAGGCAGAGATTTGATATTTCACTGTAACTTGAGTTAAATAAAAATGCCATGCATTTTCTGCCCAAAAAGTAAGAAACTTCACTGGGATTTTTTTAACATAACTAGTTTTGAAAACTGTTAAGCTAAAGAAACGTTACTTTTAAAATAAAATCATCTTTACCTGCTGTGCGCCCTCTTCTCGAGTGCTTGCTCAAAGGTGGTTCAGCCCCTTGGATGCTCACAGTCAGTTTGAGTTTACAGCCACCTGCACTTCATGCACCTCTTCTGATCTTAATTTTATACCAACGTGAATCTTGTTGATGCCTGTTCTAAAAATAAGTGTTGAACTTGTAGCTATTTGTAGAATTTTTGTTTTAACTCTGCCTCCAAATTGTCTGTAACTTACTATTGGAGTGACGGGCAGTAAAAAGGTTTGTGTGTTTTTTCCTCTTAGAGCAAATGCCTTTAAAAGGCTGCCTTAAACTGAGAAATAGCTGCGTATTTTCTATGTTTAATAGATCAGTCAGTGTAGGAGAAAAAAAAAAAAAACAACTCCATTGTTGTGCTTTGGATAGAAACTATCAGCAAAACCCATTTGTCAGTCTTTTGCGATTTGTTATAACACACTGGACCATGGAAGGTGCCAAGTCCATGCACATTCCCTATAGAAGCGTTTTTACTTGGTTAACCAGGTTAAACCACTTAGCTTTTATTTTATTATCTCATTAGCAATCAAAACCCCTTGTTTTAGGGCTCCAAGTCGATGTAGTTACGTGGGCAGCCCTTGAAATTTGCCAGAATTCCCTGGACTCCACTAATTCTAATTGAAGTTGGCACAAATGTGAAATGCAGGCAGCGATAAGCTGTTCTGAGTCCTGGATCGTTGTGGAGCAGAATGTGAAATGCTTGTTAGATGAGGTTATTTGATGAGATTTAACCGTTTTAGGGCAAAGATAATTTAAAAAATGGGTCCATGCGATGATGTGCATTCCTCTACAATTCGTATGAGATGCGAGAGGAATTGCACATGACCTTGGGGTGCTGAGCAGCAGACCTTGTCCGATGTTCATGGAAATGATCACTTGAGTCCTTTCAGCCTTTAGTTTTCTATGAAATTAAAATGAATATTGGGAATTTAGGCTTGTTCTGGTTCTTGGTTGACTTTGCAGACAACAGCAGACCCCAGCCCCTGGCTCTTGGCTGACTTTGCAGACAACAGCAGACCCCAGCCATCGTCCCCACTCCCCCTCTGCTCCCTTCCCTGATCTTTGTCTCCGTTTCTCCCCTTTGTGGAGCCCTGGTAGGACGGACCCCTCAGCAGCCTTCCTCCCGCGGAGGATGCCGAGTGCTAATGGCTTCTTTGTCTCACGAGTGCACTGATTGTATTTTCTGCTTTCAGAGATTTACGTTTCAACCACATCAAGGAGATACAACCTGGAGCCTTCAGGAGACTGAGGAACCTCAACACGCTGTAAGTCCCACTCGGTGGTCCCGCCGTGGATATCTGTTTGTTACGTCTGTCGGTCCTGTCGCCCACGATGGCTCAGAGGTGGCCTTGGTCATTTAGTTATTTCAGCCAAGTTGTGTTTATCCAGCTAAAGCTTTAAAGTTCTCTCTGTTCTACCCTGGATCATGTTTCTTACCCTTTTTAATTAAATGTTCAATTTAATAACTTTAATTTTTGGCAATGAACCTGTCTTTAAAAAAAAAACAACACCCCAACTTTAAATCCTGATGCGTGCTGTCACTGCCTGAGGATGTTTCAGCAGGTATGGCTTTCGAGTAGCCCATAAAAACATTTCTGGGCTGGGATCGAGATAGTGGAGGGATGGGTTAAAATCTTCCTTTCTATGACCTCCTCAGATGCATAAACCACATTAGTTGCTCTACATGACTTTGAAGCGAGAGTGCATCCTTCAAATTTCTGTCTTGTCCCTCTGCCTTGCCCTAGAATAAATGCCTGCACCTGCCCTGCCGGGGAGAGGAACGGGAGCAGAAAGCAGCTCCTTCAGTCTGCATCCCAGCCCGGGCAGGCACGCTCGCGTCCATCTGATATACGGCTCTACTAACAATTTCTCACTCTGCTCAAAGGAAATAGTAGGAGCCTTTGCTGCTTCTTGCTGCCGTAGGGCTGAGGGTTAGAAGATGGATACGCGTACATCTGCACTGTGCAGCCAAGGAGTTGAAAGCAAACCAGGTCCCAAATCAGAAACAGAAGCGGTGTCAGCACCGCGCTGTGCGGGACGTCACTGGGCTGCTGGGGCTCAGATCTGGTGACTGGAGCTGTAACACGGCGCTAACAGCTCGAAGATTTCCAGGTCCAAGCTGGGATCTCTCTGCAAGGCAAACCAGCTCCCGCGGGATCCTGCAGCACACGGCAGACACGCTCAGATGTCCTGGGTTCGTACATTCGTGGTCCCAAATGGCCAGAGAAAGCCCAGATTGGTTTTTTTTTCTCTCTAACCTTGAGAGATGTGAAGTCCCTGATCCTGTAAAGATAGCACCGCTGAAAGAAGGAAGATCTGGACCATAAGGAATTCAGTCAAACGTGAAGAAGTTGTAGGAAGAGTGAGAACACAGCAGGACTTTATCGTAGAGACCTGCTCAATAGCTTTATTTTTAAAAATCAGCATTTGCTAAAGATTGTTCCTCTGTGTGTGTGGGACTGATGGGCCAAGCCATGACTGCAGGATGCTCCGAAGCATGCCCAGGCCCCTGTTCATAGGGGCTCAACTAGTAGACTGGTAGAAAACTTTACTGACAGTGATGCTGATCATCCAGAACACAAGAACAGCCCATGTTGGTCTGTCAAACAGCACCACGTGGTACTTAATTACCAAAAATAATATAAAAGATCCAGAAGATTAATACTGATGGATCCCTGTCTTTCAGGATAGGGTGAGAAAGTGACTAAGTATCTAGAGAGAAAATAGACGTGGAGCCTGCAGGGTTTTACCTTATCACAAAGCTCTGCTGGAGGCATCTTGATCTCTGGACCTGCTCTTCCACCCCTGAAGCTCTCCTGAGTCGAGAAACCAAGCTGTTCCAAATGATGTCATCTCTGTGTGATGCGGACAGATGTTTGGCAGGCAGCGCGGCAGGACCGTTTCAGCCGAACCCGGGGGAACGCGGGATGCTGGCGAGCCTTCATTGGAGAGCTGCTCCACCCAACCTGTGGAGCTTTGTAAGAGATCCCAGCTCCTGCCCTGCCAGTGCCTGGGTCTAGGCAGGTCCCTGACACGTGCAGGACTTCTGCTTCTGTCTCTCTGACTCCTGCCGCTCTGCTTAAAGCTAGATATAGCTTTATAGATATAGCTCAGCCTGGCTGAGGTGGGAAGACCCATCTCTATGATACCTGTTTATGCTCCGTGAGTTTGTCCAATTCTTCTTGCTTTCTGTCTCCACACCCTCCTGGACAAAGAAATCAAGGACAGCAAGTCCGTGAACACCCAGGAAAGGGAATAGGCACAAAGGTACCCCCTGACATCCCTTGTCTTGTCATTATGGGTGTTGGGACAGTCAGGGAACGTGTTTTGCACAGATGGCGGGCAGGCTGTCCCTAAATAGCGTCCTATGGCCATCGCCAGAGCACTGCTCTTACAGAATACGGCGTTTTTATATATTCGAATTGTGGAAATCATCTGCTTTTGTAAATGAAACCTTTCCATTTAGACAGGATTTCGTATGCTTGGTTGTGTTTCCTGGGTTGGCCGGTAAAATGGAAAAATCGGTTATTCTCACACTCGCAGTAGTTAACTCCCACGGATGAGGAGATTGATAACTGAAGGAGAGGATGTCGGACCTCGCACTCCTAAAGCAAATTTCTCTCCAGGAACTTTGGTTTGCTCAATTCCCACATCAAAACTGACAAGAGGTGAAGAATTTGCTGATGTTTCTTAGATGGTAAACTTTTGCCTGAGGGCTCATAGAGGTCTTCAAGTGATAAAGAGAATAAATCCTTTAAACTCCCTGAGAGACTTGCTGGAAAAGTTTGGCCGGAATATTTGAAGCAAAAGCTTTGGAGGACAGAGTAGCTCAGGTTCCATATGCAGAGCTCTAAGCTTGCAGCTTTCTGCCACGGGACTTGAATAAATATCCCTTAAGCAAATAAATACTTTGAAAAGAGCCTTTTCCTGCAGTGCTTTGTCCTGGCAGAGGAAGGGCAGCAGATTCTGGTGGAGTTTCTGTTCTGCATCTCCTCTTGGGCAGGATGGCTGTAGTGTATCCAGGTTTGACAGCTTATAAACCACCCAGATAAGGAAACCTTTGTAGCTGAGGTTGGATGCAGGGACCTGGGCTCTGAGATGGACAGAGGAGCCTGCCCTGAATGTCCAGAGGGGCTTTTTTTGACAGTTCGAACCTTCCCCTGGCTCTTGTCTCTTCTTTTCTTTCCCTGGTGTGGGAGGTTTGATAAATTACAGACCACTACTTTAAAATCAAAAACAGGAGCCCTGCTCATCCGTGGAAGAGATCCAGTCACTGTGTGTCTCTGGCTGGGGGCTCCTGGTGCAGCACCAGAGGTAATAAGCAATTTTCCTGAATGCTGCACCGCTGGAGCTTGCTTGTTGTCTGTCTGCGATGTTGTGTGCGTCGGAGAACTCCTCTTGGGCTGAAGGTCTTTGAGTTGTAAGCTTTCCTCATCCCTTCCCACTGCCTCTTCTCAGTTCCCATGCAACCGTTGGTGTCAGGATCTCCTTTGTGTGTTTTTAAACTGTTAAAATGTCCCCTTGGTGAAAAAAAAAAATAGGGTAGGAGGCAGAGAGAGGGGAAAAAACTCTTGTATGCCATGCAGAAAATACCCGCAGCTCTTCAACAGATGTTTTCCTTGGGTTTGCCAACTAGCCGTGTCGTCTAACCCAGCATGAGCTCACAGCAGGTGGTGGACCGTGGAAGAGAGCAAACACATTGCGAGCCCGTGGTGAGGCAGAGCATCTCAGTGCTTTCCAGCATTTCTCCTTTAGGTCATCCTTGGGAGGGGATGGATGACGACACCCCTGCATGACTGGCCCCTTCCATGTTCCCCCAGGAGCTCAGCACCCTGCTGTGTTAACCCAACTGGATTTTCAAGCCAAGGCCATCACAACCAAACGGTTGGTGCTACTTGAGTCTCTCCAGCATCACCTACAGAAATGTCCAGCCCTGGGACCAAAGCGCTGTTGGTTGACTTCCCCAGTAGGTGTTTTCTTCTGCCTTTGGCACGGGCACCCAGGGGAACAGGGACCCCGTGGAGACCACACCATAGTGTGTGCTTCTGCCTGTGCCCTGTCCGTGTCCTTGCTCACATCACGTTTCTCCTCCTGCTGAGGTGAGAGCAAAAGGGGCTCCTGGTGAGCTCTGCAGCTCTCCTTTGGGTGCTGCTTGTGAAGGGTTTCAGGGTGAATGAGAGGAGTGACACGAAGGCTGTGTGTTGGATCTTCTAGTGGCTCTTGAGAGAACATGTTCCTGCAAGCAAAGAGGGGATGTCGGAGCCTGCTGGATCTCAGAATAGGAGTTTCTCCCTCAAAAATGGGAAATGGCTATTCCAGACCATTCTGTCAACAGCGGAGAATGCATGGCTGAGCATCAAACTCACTTTTTCTCCCCATTTAAATACACTCCGTGATGATTTCTATTAATGATGGGAGGAAAAAAAAAATAGCTGTTCTGTCAGAACGACTGTAGCATGTGGTTTGTCAAACGAAAAGAGGAAAGACTATATGGTTTGACTCTGAATTCTGTACTGTCACATCATTTAATACATTCTTCAAAACAGAAAATGTCTCATTTAATGCAGCTTAAGCCCGTGCTTGGCAACCCCGAGAGAGGGTGGGGAAGGAGAAGGGAGGAGCAGTCAGGACATAAAACCTAAAGGAAACTGAATGTAAAATGTTCTCTTAGTGAATCTGGGCCAGATCTCCTGGTGCTTGTATATCTCAAACCTTCCAGAAGAATTTTTCAGGTATAAAACCTGTATGACTGAGTCCGCCTACTCATTTGGAGCCCAACTCAGCATGAAGGGGAATCCCACATCGTTTTCCTGTCTTTTGATAAGCTTCAGGAAACGTACTTCTGATACTTTTAATTTCGCTTGTTTAGCTAAAGGGTATACTTAAGACATGCATCGATAATGATCTTTCCAGCTTCTGTCTGCCAGAGCGTTTATTCCCAGCAGATCTGGTTAGCTGTAGATACACTCAGTCCTTTCTAATGTTAGCAGGAATTTGGGTGGTTTTCTGTTGATTGCAGCTGGGATCGATATCCAGGTCACGCCAGGATTTTGCACATTTCTCTGCCTGGGTGAACTGCACGGGAGTCGAGGAGCAGACAGCTGTGCTCAAGCCATCTAAAGTCTTTCTAGGAGCCAGATGTGCTTGCTGTCTTGTCTGTGGATTTCTCTGAAAGCAGCATTTTGAAATATGTGGGCTATGATGGACTTCATAAATTATCTCACTGTTGAGTTTTTTCCAGGACATCTCCTTCTATTACAATGGGGAATCCTGAGACAGGAAACAGAGATGGCTTCTTCCATACGCTTCGTAACCTTTCATCAGGCCACGAACAAATTTTTAAGTATCAGACGATGAGATAAGAGGCCTGCGTACTGCGTGCCATCTGAACTTCCACAATTTGTCTTACTTGGCTCGGATCACTGATTACATCCCCTTGAACTGTCCTAAACAGCCAAGACAACAAAACAGACTCGGTTAATGCTTCTAAATAGCACCAAAATGCAGTCAGATGTGTTGCAACTTGAAATTCCCCCTGGACTTCACTCCCCACCCGAACTTCCATTAAGGATAAAGGGTCAGTGAAGGCATCCAGACCATCGTGGAGCATGGGGTTGGCATGACCCTGCCTCCAGGACCCGCTCACCTGGTCGTTGTCTCATGTCCCCTGTGAAACAAGCGGCCGATGCCACTTGCATGGCAGGAGACTGGCACTCGCATCCATGGGAATGACGTCGGAGCTGGCAGCTGTCTCTCAGCCCATGTAGCATCCTCAGAAGTGGGGCCAAGGATCAGATAACAGAGAACAAGCTGCCTTCGTTCTCCCCTGGCTGCAGATGAAAGCGCGCGGATAGAGGGCAGGGAAGGAAGCGCGCACGGTCGGTGCCTCTGTTGTCTTTGTCCTGTTGGGTAAATAGACAAAACCCCTCTCCCGCGCCGCTCTCAGGCAGTTATTTCCAGTCCTTGGGTGTTCAGTCATCAAATAAACCTTTGGGTTGGTGTTCAGGGGCTGTATTTCCACTCGGCGTATCTGGCTGTCAAAGCAGAATAGCGTGTTCCAAGGACTTGACATCATTTCACTCATCGGCGTGCAGTGGGGTTGTTTAACCTCAACCGTGCGCATTGAGCCATTGCTTCCAGCTGTGCGGAAATTTTCTTAAAAATTTCTGCCTTAACCACTCCAGGCTGCTTGTCCCCAACCCTGGCAACGTGCGGTTTGGTGGTGCCATCCCCATCCATGGGAGCAGGGTGGCTGATCGAGAGAGGATGGTTAAATCAAGGATGCTGAGATTTTTGTCAAACTCTTCTTGTTCTGAATTCCAAAGGTTTCTTCGCAGTTTTTCATGTGCTTTGTGGACCCTTGATGTGATTCTCCACCCGAGAACAAGGTGATGGCAAGCTGGTGTGGCTCAGGTGTCTGGCAGTAACTTGTGAAGCTGCCGTAACACGTGTGTGTTTCTGGCACCTTTTATCTTCGCATCCCTGAGGCGTTTGATTTTATCTTCACCTTCTTTTCCCACACATTTTCTTCCATTTCTTTTCATCTTTTCTCTCCATCCTTTACCTGCCCAAACTGTTCTCCCCAGGAAGGGACCTTTGCTTGTCGTGCCAGCGGCTGGCTGCTGCCCTGCCTTCCCTGTTTTCTCCAGCAAAGGGGGGCAGAAGAGGGGGCTTCACTGCTGGGAAAGTGCTGAACTGTCTTCTCACCTGCTGCCTGGCAGCCGATTGTTTCTGAGGAGCACAGCTATCGCAAAAAGGAGAAATAGAAAACACACATCCAATGCATATGTTGAATTTGAGCCAAGGTTGTAAGGTCTGGCTGCTTGCAAAAGGAATAGGAGTTTTTCCTACAACACTAGAAAAACAAATCTTTGCAGGACCTGGTCGCAGCTCTCCTCTCTGTCCAGGAATTTCAGTAATCCCCATCTCCATTTAGGAATTTTTAAAATAAGTGTAGCCGGTGAAATCCTTGCTCTGAGCTACGGGGCTATAAGCTCCGTGGCCGCAGCAGCGTTTGCCAATCTCAGCATCATGAGATACCACGGCGAAAGACCCACAGGAGGGTGGTTAAGCAGCCACGATGAATAGTTAAACGTCATATATTACAGAGCTATTTATAAGTGATTTATTTCATTTTCTCGGTGTTGGGCTTGGCAGTGGTTGCAGAGGAGGTTTTTGCAGCGTTCAGCTGTTGCACACCGGGTGGTTATTAGGAGGTTGAGCTGCGTTTCTGGCCGTTGGCACCGGCCAGGGTTTGCATGTACGGTCATGGCAACTGTGCACACAAGGCAGGGATCGCCTGCCAGGGAGATGCTGGCCATAGGTTTTGTATTAAAATCTGGCACAAGTCTCTCTAGATGGAAAGAGGCTGTCTCTGACTAGCCTCAGGAGGCGGATTTGTATGTATTTGTTTTTCATTTGCACATGTTAGTACACAAAGTGATTAGAACAGCACATTACCATTTTATATCTCCTGGAACTCCACGATGAACTGGCGTTTTAAACTGTGTCCTCTTAAAAACCGGCTCTGCACACCCCTGCCCACACGCATTGAACACAACCGTGCACCTTCACCAGCCCTTGCGCTTGTACAAGAGGGGCAGCAATGGGTTAATTTGTCCCCTCCCTCCACTCCCTTCTGCCTGTCTCCCTTCCCCTGGCCACAATTATAATTTTGGGCGTGCTTGTACAAGAGGGGCGGCGATGGGTTAATTTGTCCCTTCCCTCCACTCCCTTCTGCCTGTCTGCCTTCCCCTGGCCACAATTATAATTTTGGGCTGAAAACCACGGTGGCAAAAGCTAAAGAAAAGTTTTTGTATGTATTGGAAGCGCTTGGCACCTCTGGGCAGGAAACTTTCTCATTGACTTAGCTGGTGGGAGTATCCAGCCTTTGATCTGCTAACCCCTGTAAATCTTAAACTCTGGAAAACCCCGGTTCAGGGTTTTTCAGGGGGCATCCAGGAGCACAAATGCCCCAAGTCTGACATGTGCTGAATTCACCAGTTGTGTTTTTTTTTCTCGGACAGGCTGCTGAACAATAATCAGATAAAACACATTGTGAGAAGATCCTTTGAAGATCTGGAGAACCTGAAATACCTGTGAGTTGGTAGCTCTGTAGTTTCTTAACCTCTTTGAAATTTAACAACCCCCTTCTGATGTTTGCTGGTCAAGGATGTATCTTCTGTGGTCAGAATTTCTGGGTGTTAATGTCACGGCTATAAACCATTGCCCTCAAATCCCATCAGCAAGCTCTGCTTTGGGTTGAGGTTCGTAGTTCTTTCCTGCTGCCCGGTC